TTTTACATTTTCATTCTTTATCATTTTGTTGATTCCAGTAAAACTTTTCTGCGACTTGACTCTCAAAATATGTGTAATGTTTTATATGGCATATGACTGCCAATGCCCAGCGACATTTTAAGTACAGATCACACACATGTTTTATTGCAGTAATGAGTGTCTAAGGAGTGCTAGGAGGAGATACTAGTATGCAATGCCAATTCATAAATGACACTTACTTACTGTACAACGCTTTTGCTAAAATGTGATGGTATGTCATTCAATCTTTAGTAACCAGTGCAGGAATCAGACTATAATTACAAACGCAGATTTGATGCTTCCAGCTGTGATTGTTATATTACAATGTTGTTTACTAAATATAGTACTTTTTTCTTTCAGAACATCATCTGCATTTGTAAACAGCTTGGGATTGAAATGAGAATAGTAAGAATGTCTAATATATTTCATCTTCTCAAGCCTTATCATGTGACAATATTATATATCAGCGAATAATGCTGTATTGGTCAAACCATGTTGTTGGAGCTTGTGCTCCATATCAAGTCTTACCTGACTATTAATGGAGTTAATGTCATGCTTTTATTTACGGAACATGAAGGAGCGTATTCTGCAGGTTTAGTTATTCAAGACAATTGTGTGTTGTTGTTTTTACAACAATTAAAACTCAATAATTATTATTCTAACACCATGTGAATTGCAGTAGCATTTTAACTTTGTATGATCTACAGAGAAACTCTCACTGATCAATATGACTCATCATACGACGTGTTGTTTGTATTTTAAATTTTTATACAACTAGTCGAGGAAAGAAACAAGGACTGTTAATATAATATGGGGTTTGTCAGTCTACACACCTATCCGACGTATTTTTTTTTTGTACTGACTGCTTTTTTGGTGTCAAATATTAAATAAATTGCGAATTGTTTTGATCCGATTGACAAGTGCCTATTTTCCCACTTACACCCAAACGCGTATAGTAAACTGCATATATATTGTTTCACTGTGTCTTGAATGGAAAATAGCTAACGGGCAGTAAATGTGCTCTGTAATTATGCTTCAGATACATATTTGTTTGCAGCAATTATTAATTATGTAAATCATATGCAGCTATGTTAATAAATCCAATCCGTGCGAGCGAGTTCCACTGAAATTGTTCAATACATAATACCATTTTACTACATCTTTGAAAAGTAAAACAAAGTGGGTTGTAATCAAAAAGTGACTTAAAAGGTGCATCTTATCCTTAACATTATTACCCGATCCATCTTGCCGCCTATATAATGATTGTGTGAAGTGTATGAAACAAATGTGCGTTGAGTGATGATGCTACTCATTTTAACATGAATCGCTGTAATTCTTGCCTAGAATAATTACTATATTGAGACACTTATTAGTTCTTGTTTAAGACAGGGACTTTATCAGTCTTCCTACAGAAATCAATTGAATACGATCATTATGAATCAGTGTCACATTCGGAGCTGAATGTGTTCTTTAAAAACGCCACACCTGATATCAATTTATATTTACCACGAGGATCATATATGTTTTTTCTTACTGACTTAACTTAGTAGTGTGGTGCAATCATTAGATGTTTTGGGTTGTTCGTGTTCATATAAATGTTTTGTGAGATTATAATGTGTCGATTGGTGCCAATTTCCTTTGATTACTATGAATTTGAATAACGTTTATGTAAGTTGTAATTTCCATAGTCTACCGAGAGCTATGCTAGATGAAACTGGTTTCTACGATGAATAGCTGTTTCTTTTGTATGTTGTTAATAGCTATGCTATTGTGAAATTCGCTTTAATATTGGTATCATATGATATGGTGTTATTATGAGATGGGTCCTCGTGGGAATTGCCATGCTGATGAGATATTGATTTCTATGACAAATCGTTTTTGCTTTATGTGCTATCAATATCTATGCTATGATGAGATTCTACCTGGGAATTACCATGACGAGACAATAATGCCCATGACGAATCAATAGTGATTAGACGTTACCAAGAGCTATAGTGGAATATTTTGTTTCTGTGCTATTGTAAGGTGAAACACAACGCTGCGTCACCATTGTTCTTGGGGGTACCAACGATTTACAATTGTGATTCATCAAAGCTTAGAGGGGTGTTATTCTTCTTTAAGCATCGCCAGCTCATAATATCATCACGCTGTACATGGTGTGCCTTCATATATTAATATTGAAAAATATTATGTAACATATATTACACACTCATAGGGATGTTATGAATTGATAGAGCTGGTATGTATCGTCACACATTAAAGTGTGCTTCGGGAGAATGCAATTACAATTTGGTAATTTATGTATATTGTGCAATTATGTTGTCTGAGAATCTTATATTTTAAACTTCATCTCAAACATCGTATGATAGATTACATGTTGAACACAATGATTCACAATAGTCATATAACTAGCTTAATTAAACTTAAATAGCTAGTTTGGTATATAAACGTTCACCCTGGCGTAATTGAGGAGAATACCACCTACCACTAAATATACAAGTCTGGGATTTCAAAGTTTCGTTGTGTATATTAACGAATGATGTCTTAAATGTTCATGCCAGGCTGTTTGCATTGGTAGACAAATAAAGAATAGTACGTCGTACAGCCACAGTAAACACAGCCAACAGTAAACCAGATGCAGTTTAGTTTTGTTTATTGAAAAGCCTTGAAAAGACTTTTTCAATTGGTTTAGCCAACAATAAACCAGAGGTTGTCGGTGCATAATGGTTTCTATGGCAATAGTGCTATCAATAAGGAAAGTGTTCACGGTAACCAAGGTGATATTGACATGAACCTGGAAATATTCATTAATTTGGCTAGATGCCAAAACCACGTTGTTTGCTCCCCAGCCTGTTCGAACCAAACTACTAAACAGCCACAAGTAGTGTTGTTGTAACATGTATGGTTGATAACTAAAAGCTAATTTGATTGAATATAGTAAGGTAAATTATTATATGCTCATTAATGATATAAGTAACCAGGCAGTAACATCATTGTGTAACAATAACATTGTTTGGATCAATTATGACCAGTATGTCAATGGTGACACCATTGATACCACCCAATGACTTGTGGGGTCCATTTATGTGTTACTTGATAATCATTAATATTATTTGGACCATTTATGACAGGTGTGACTGGTCGGCAGGACATCCTTCCTCATTTCGGACACGAGATGTGGTAGTCGTTTCTTATTTCGTAAACAGTGTGTCGTCTAATGCACAATATTACTTCACCCACACATATGGAGATATGCCCTTCTTATGGAGTTGTGAGCGATGTACCCACTTTGAAGTGTTTGTTTAATATATATAACACAATTCCACTCTACTTTTACAAACCAAACACTTATTTTTAAATTCATTGTGATTGGCTGGTTCGCGACAACCATGGTACAAATTATATAACATATGATCACGTGTTGGTTACGGAATGGATGTTTGCCGTAACCAACACGTGATCGTAGGTCATCTAGCATGTTTCAGTGACTAGATTGACAATGGAATTATTAACAAAAGTGGTCCGAATACTCTCAACTTTAATTGCAGTCATGTTAGAAACCGACAAGTGTTATATACAGTGTATTTACGTCACTCGGTTGGCGCTTGGTGACCTTCAAACCCAGTTGTCATTCTATAGTATTAGTAACAGTTACATTACGAAGATATAAACGCGTAAAGAGGAATTCGAACTCATTACCACAACAAAGCGCTTCGGCACTGGAAACAGATGCGATCAGACGGCTCCAAAAAACAAGCAATTACATAAAGTAACTACATAAAAAAACATCAAAAGTACAGGCTATGTATAAACCAAGGTATTTATAGTAACATGAACTAAGTTCACATATTGCATTTTTAATGAACTGCATATTGTGTCACAATTAACGGGGCTGTTTTGTTACCTCAGGTGATAAAAGTATAAGGTAACTGTGTTAACTCATGGTAACGTGGTGGTTACGGCATATAAACCACGAATGTAAACTGGTTACGGCATGTAGCTGCATACGTCTGGAACGCCCATTGACCAACCACATAAAGGGACTGTGGAACAACTATACACTGCAGAGACAGTCGCGCTACAACGTTTTATGATCGGCTGATTAATGTACAATGGAGTGTAAACAACGTTGTGAAAGACATGTAAATAAAACGATAGGGTGTGACCATGGAGCTAAAAAAAAACTCCATGATGTGACTAAGCTTGCTACAAAACTGACATATGGTCTAGTGACTCATTCAGTGTATTGTGCTCCATGTCGACGACAATATTTTCTGATTTGTTAGTGTTGTAATATTATCATTACTTCTGTGTTGCAAGGCGGGTATGGTTTCATGTTTGAGCAAACAAGTCAGTTTAAAAGATGCAAATGGCCAGTACCTCTTCCCTATTGTATTGATTGGTCTTATTTATTACACTGACATTAGCTTCTTTTGAAAAAAACAAACAAACAAATTCGGTGTTGAATAGAGAAGAATCCTTCAACAATTTGTAATCTCCTAAGCAACTGAGTCCAACAAACAAACCTAACAAACATATTTGTTGTTTCCATGGCAACATCTATTTCATAATTAATCCTGTATTTTATGATTTTCATTTCGATATATTTTTTGATATATTTAAATATGTTGCCAAATTTATTATCATTGGTTGTTTACAGTGTCAATCCTGTGGCAAGCAGATGTTCTGAAAAGTTGGCACCAACGGATTATTCCTAAGTGGCGTTTTATCATATTTGAACCATTTTATCAAAACAAATATAATTGTTGTACATTTTGGTGAAATCTTGATTTATTATTGTGCATTTCATTCGATTCGCTGGTAGGCTCCGGGTACATTGGAATTGTAATGACATGCAAGCCCAACATTTAGTATTAATCATGGGAAACCGGTTAGAACCGGTTGTGAAACTGGCTTGAACCGGTTAAATCCGCCTCTATCTGGTTTGTCAGAGTCTTCGTGATTCCGGAAGTATGTGTGAACTCAAAACGAGGCCGATTCACGTCCCGAGTACATAAATGGCGGTGAGAACGAGCGATCGTCAGGTTTATTTATCTCTTCACACTTCCTACCGTTTCTAAGACAAACATGACATCAGAGGCGAGCACAACAGTAAATGGAGATACCACCGAATCACATCAGAACATATGTAGCATTTGTAAGAATGGATTTACCACAAGGAGTCCAAAACTACTGCCGTGTTTGCATACGTTTTGTAAGGCGTGTATCTCCCCGGCTGACGACGGAGGTGAGCTGTGTATTGTCATTTTTGATGTGTGCGGAAGGCGTAATTAACGAGTTATTTTGATACCGTTCATTCAGTTGTTAATCAATTGAAATTACCTAGTTGATGTTAGTCATGTTTGCCTGTACGTATCGTAATGATCGACACTAGTAGGCATAATCTCGGCAAAGCAAAGCAAAGTTGACCCGATCGACGGTATCAGTTTGTATTTACCGGTACTGCATAGATCAGACCACATTTGACAGAATAGTGTGTGCCCCACCGCGACTCTCAGTGATAATGTCGGGCACCGATTACCGATTGGACTGCATTCATCATTCGACGTTTATATAATAACATTTCTAATCCAGTAATGACGAACGACTCATGATCAAGATCTTTTCTCGCCAGCGACGAGCGTCCCCATTTGTTTCAGTTGACCTCAATTTTGTTCTAGTTTTGTACTTTTTTGTCAGATTCCAGCAGATTAAGTGTTCTAATAATTAAACACCAGTTCTTAGATTTTTGCATCGTGTTGTATGATTGATGTATGTGTGTTTTTCCTATGTGTGTCTAACCTTAAAATAGAAGAAAGTTCTTAACTATTTTGTGTAATTTTCTTCAGCTTTGAGAATGTGAAGAGTTTTGTCATTAAATGCTACTACAATACAAATGTATTGTTTGTATTCAGTAGAGTGAAACAAGACTGGACTATCTTGAAATACAATACAAAATAAGAATGGTCCAAACAAATAATTTAACAAGTTGCTGAAATGCAAATTAGATATTCATATTCAAATTTTCTGTATAAGTAGTTTGCCATTTACTTATTTGGGGACAACATTTTTTAAACTTTCTTAAAATAATGCCTAGGCAAAAAGTAGTGTTTCCATTTATCACATACATCAGTTTAAAATGTTGCATCACCCTCAAAGCTTTTTTTTTTAGAATTTTTAGAAAAACATTAATTTTCAAAAAGATGAAAATAGAAACAACATTTTTATGAAAATTTTACACTAAAAATATTTTTTAAAATGCAACTGTATCATGTTCAAAAACTTGTTTTTTTTCATTTTATTTTTCGGCCTGAATGAAAATATTTAATTTGCACTACTAAGAATTGAAATTTTGGGTTAACTGTGTACATGTATATGTAAAAACTGAGTCTGAACTGTCTTGTGCATTTTCTGGAGGTTGTGAAGTTTGAGGCTTGTTTCATGCTATTATTTCCAACTTTTTTGTGGTTGGAAAAGTTAATTGCATTTAAACTTATTGGGCTTCTAGGCAAGTCGATGTCAGGTTCAAGTACTGGGAATATTTTATAAATATGTGATGGTGTACATGCATAAGATCAAATTTAGAATAAGTTTATCAGCTTTTTTGGAACAACGTGCCCACTTATAAATTCAGTAGGATACTGTTTGCAGGGTAGTTGTGAATACATTGTACATTTGCAGTGCCAGTTGTGAAGGGACTTTGTACACCTTGTCCTACATGTCAGTACATGCGTGTAAAAGTGATACTGCTCTCTGTGCCCATCAATCTCTGTATATATATCTGTCTGTTCTTGTATTAAAATATACAACTACATTGCTTGCTTCCATCTACATGTATACTGTTAAAACAGTTTTCAGGGGAGTGAATATATATATATATTTCCTTTTACTCACAGTAATCCGGTGTGCACTATGTAAACAAGAAGTTCGAAATCTTGGTCTGGTTATTGACAATTACTTCCTTCTGGATTCATTGACTAATGGAGATAACACGACAACCAGTACAACAGCTGATGCCAAATGCACAAGTTGTGAAGACAATGCTGTTGCCTCATCATATTGTCAGAATTGTGCGGAGTGGCTGTGCGATACTTGTGTTCAGGCCCATCACAGAGTGCGGGTGACTAAAGACCACGTTATCCAACCAAAGGATTCCGCTGAAGCATTACAGAGGGAATCCACAACCAGTCCAGCTAGTTCACGCAACAAGCCCCTTTACTGTCCGGTTCACAAACAAGAACCATTGAAACTGTACTGTGAAACCTGCGACAAGCTGACCTGCCGAGATTGTCAGTTATTGGAACACAAAGAACACAAGTAAGATAACTATTCAGCTTAACATAATGATATACTGTAAAATGACTAATTTTCACTGGGTTTAAATTTCATTGATTTACCATTTCAGGCATATTCAGTAGGTTTTAAATTCACGGTTTCGTCATTTAGATAATGTGTTCTATGCTAAATTTTACATATTCACTGGGTTTTAATTTAGCGCATTTTCCAGTCAGCGAAATAAGCTAAATTAAAACCCAGTGAATAATTACCCCCTTTACATTATGTAGTTACGTTATGTACTATAGCAATGTTCACTACGCAGTGAGGTGCATCATGTTACCTGACTGAGATTGCTACAATGTTTCAACAGCAAAAATTTTAAGTTTCGACTGAAAATCGGTACAGCTATACAATTATACTGTTAAAACAGTACACTGTATGTAACCTTGCTATAGCCAACGGCTTTATAATGAATTTCTTGATATAAAACTTAAACACATTGCATGCCCCCCCCCCCCCCCACTCATAGCAAACCCAATGTGCTTCATTATAGGGAACACTTAATTTTATACATCTACATGTAACAAACTAGTTCCCCCCTGCACAAAAATCATTATAACGAGGTTAAAGTGTATATTCATTTATAGGCCTAATAGTTTTCAGTTTGATCGAAACCACCTGCTTTGTCATTTACTTTTAAACAATCAGTAAATGAGGCAATAAACCACGGCTAAAGATGGGTATACCATAACATTTTGTACAATCCATGACACGTACACACAAGAGCGTATGGAATGGATTGTGCAAAATTGAGTGACATACCCAACTTTAATGGTAGTTCATTGCCATGATATTACACCAATTTCATTTGAAATTTAATTCTCAGACTGAGAATAACTTCAAAGCATCAAAAACTATGTACAAGTCTAATACAGCATCCGAAATGTTATACTTGTAATCATGTTAAAATAAAAATGGGGTCTAGAACGCAGCAATCATTATAGGTACATCTATAATGTGGTGCAAATTAGCACCAGACTCCAATTTAATGGTTGACTAATCTTCCAGTTTGCGAGCGAGCTATTTTAGACATAATATGTATGTAATTCTGAAAAACAATTCTCATTAAATACCCAAGCGTTTCACATTTTTTTTTTACTGATTTCACTTGACAGCATGATTTAGTCCTAATGTATGTTATTTACATTAAAACAATTTAGGTAATCCCACTTTTGTTAGCCATACAAAGACAGTGATAAAAACGGAAGTCTGCAATATGTTGCGAAGTCCTTCAAAGGGCAGAGCCTCCAAATCAAAAAAAAAATAACTAGAATAGCAATAATTTGCCCATTGCACGCAACAGCAACAATGTGACAAAACAAGTCACGGCATACGTCGGGAAGATCAACCCCGATTTGCTGCACTCTGATTTGTTATCACTCAATCGCTGGTGACATTATTTACTCCAAAATTAAAAAAAGAACAAGTGAAATTAAGTCGCATTGGAAAGAAAAGTATGAATAATTCAACAGCAGACGAGACGGGATGAGACAAAACAAACTCTGACCTCTGGAAATACCCCATTCATAGGGTTCCTTAGTACAGAAAAACGTCGCCCTAAGGCGACATAATGCAC